TGCGAGAATAAATGAAATCGCTCTCCTTTATATAGCTATTCCCATTCGTACGGATGCTAAACCGATTTCGAAAGAAAGTATACCTGGAAATCTAAGGGAGAAATATATTTTCCTTTTAAATATATAATGTTCCCATTCAAATCGCATACTACTTTATTATTCCCAAAGAAAAAACATATCTGAGATTTCTGTGGCCAGTAATCATCATCGACTGTGATTTCCTTTATCTTTCACTTTAGCCCTGAAGATATAGCATTTATTCAAATGAAGGACTTCAAATCAATTAAAAATCATACCAGAGAAATTTTTCCCATTATCTCACAATTGTAAACGCCAGGAAGCCATGTGTAGTAATCACATAAAAAAATCATGTTTTACAGCATTTTGTCGCGAAGAATGATAAAGGAAATCGATAAAAGAGCTCTCGAAAAATAATTTTTTTTGATGAAAGCTGGTTATTCAAAATATGAAATGGCATTATTCATGTTATGTTGATGGGATATTCGTTTGTATTATTGTATTTTTTAATATGCAACATTCAAAATTTCAATTACTATTATAGTAATGTATCATAAATAATGCCTCTTTAATAGCTCTTGAAAAATTATCTTTTTTATGAAAGCTCCTGTTTCACAATATAACGTGCCCATTATTTATGTTACGTTGATGGGATATCTGTTTATATTATTATATTTTTTAAAAACATGTATGACTTGAAAATCTCAAAAATACATTACTGAATCAAGCAGACTGAGAGTTGAGAAATTCAAAATGTTTCAGTATTGTTTACTGCATCCCCAGACAATGTTGGATATCAATTTAACATTATGATTAAACAAAAGATTTGTTGTAAGTTTTGAAATTGGGACTTTTAGGATGACGTGAAATATTTTTGATGTTTTCAGGTTTGAATATATTAAAAATTAATTCCTGGATAGTATTTTGAAAAACTGTAAAAAATGGAAGAAGAAACGTCACCAATCAAATATCTTGAGAACAAATTTGTGGAAAATTTCATTTAAAATACAAATATATCCAATTCTAACGTTGATCACCACCTTTATAAAGGCATCGCACGGCTTGTGCTTCTGTATAAAAAAATTAGAAAAAACTATGGTGGATATTTGCTGATTTTATCTACTTCTTCTGAAGTTATGAATTATAAATTTTTGAAAACATAAAAGTTAAAAAAAAATCCGAACATACATGACACATTCCTCCTATATTGGAAAGAAAATATTCAACTTACGTAGGTTCGAGTAATATTTCGGGTTTTAATGATCGATCATATACGAGTATATTCACTACCTAAATAAAGTCACATCGGTAATTATTTCTTTTACGTCTGAGCAGAATATTTCACCCAAACATCAAACATCTACCTCCACCTCAAACAAGTTTCAAGATATTTGAAATATATTGAAGTCAGAACTACTCCGCCATGCTGAAATTATAAGCCCTCATAAATCCCGAACTTATGCAGTAGATAACTAAAAAGTAGGGACACTTTTGTGGTTTAGAGTCTACTTTTTTTACTCGCGTAAGGCGAATGTAAAATTATAATTTTTCTGTTTTTTTCTACGACAAAACACAAACACTACAGAAAAATCCTTAAGGCGTTCTTAGAGCGATACACATTGGATACCTACCACAATGTTTTTCTTTTTTTTTGTACAGAAGCCAAAGACTTGCGATGCCCGTACAAAGGTGGTGATTAACGTTAGAATTGGATATACAGTAGAATCCGGATATAACGACCTTCAAGGGACCGGATATACTATGTCGTACTAACCGGACGACGCGACGCTCAAAACGGATTAAGTTTGTGGTAGTAAAGCGTACATTAGTTCATTAGTCTTTCATTCAGCTGTTCGGATTGCTGATCGATAGGTCAATAAAACATTTCATAGAAATCACATATGCTTTATTTTGATAGTTCTTAAATATTCTGATGTACAAACATATGTACTTAAATTATGTACTGTAATACAAAGAGATAAAATACACAAGCAATGCACGAAAAAACTGTGTTACTAACGTAAAACCCTGTTATTTGAGTTTGTTTTTGACAAAATTTTGTTCGGTAGTAAGAATTTCGTACAACATTATGAATTCGCGACATCATTGTTTTCATAACTTCATCATCCAAGTTAGTCTGCGACAGCATCATCGACACACGCGTATTGTTCAAAGTCCTCGTTTCTTATGGGTAACTGATTCATATCAATAGCCCTCGCCCAAATGCTCAGCGGCACGTCGTCTTCTTCGTTAAAATCATCTGGGTTTGAAGTTGGGCTACATTCTACATTGTTTCGCAATGCCTTATCCAACTGCTCATGAGTAGAAGTTCTTACACGTTTGCAATTCAAAACATTGGCATTGAACAGCGACTCGATCTTATCTTTATTCTTTTCAATTGTGGATATTGTAGAATGGGATACGCCAATTTCCTTTGCGAGGGCTGCATTTGATTCAACGGCTTCTAATCTGTGTAATATTGCACTGTTTTCTTCAATTGCAAAACACTTTCGATTCACAGAGTTCATTTTGTCGAACTTATTATGAACTTACAATAAGTGACAAAGACTTCATACTGGAACCTCTGGTGTAAAATCAATATATCAGTATCTGCTAGTAGTACCTAGCAATAGAGGTACCTAAGAAGATGGAGTGCGCCGAGGTATTGGTGCGCAGATTGTGTAAACAAAACATTGCGCGACGTTTCAACCGGATGTATTATCATGAAAAACGGTCGCTATAAGCGGTTGGTAGCTCAAACCGGAGTCGCACTAAACGGTATATTTTCACAATAACTGAATATCTAAACTTGAGTAAACATTAGCGTCGCTATAAACGGATAGTCGTTATAAGCGGAGTCGTCATATATGAATTTTACTGTATTTGTATGTTAAATGAAATTTTTCACAAATTTGTTCCCAAGAGATATTTCATTGGAGATTAAATTCATTTGAAAACACGTTCTTAAGAATTTTATTCCACATAAAGGCACTTCTCCAAATGAAAAAAATATTTAACAGTGGAGTTCGAGGTGTACTGAGTTGAACCACAAAACGATGAGCAGTCACAGTCCGTCGCATATTCCTGATATGTACCGCTTTTGGTGGAATCAAATGTGCCAGGCCACTTAATCACCTCCCGTGAAAGTACCCATAGGAGAGTGACATATCTCCAACCTTTTTCCGATGTTCCAGACTATTAAGGTTGCAAGTGATGTTCGTGTCTCCAATCAGGAGGATGTCTCTTATCTGGATGGAATCCAGCAGCTTCAGGGTATGCTTAAGGGCGAAGCTCCATACATGAGAACAATACTCCAAAGAAAGTCTGATCTAAGCGTTATAAAGCTACAAAAGTTGCTGAGGTGTGTACAGTTCTTCGGTTCAGAACGGTGTCCCAAGCTGATGAGAACCAGCTTTTCCAATTCCAGCGACAGGATTGTGCCAAGACATACTGGTGTCCATTTTAACCCCCAACAAACTCATCGAAGCAGAAAGCGATCACAGCATTGAATTGATCGTGGTTACTTTTACCCCAATTCAAAATCACCGCTAGATTCTTATTAAGATATGCAACCTCTTGCTGCCGGTGAAGATGTAACTCCGTAGCTGATGTCTTGGAATCCAAATGGAATAACGAGACGAGTGTGCTGTCGTCAGCAAAACAATATATTGGATTCTTGCTTTTTTCCAAGAAGTCGTTGATATACAATAAAAAGAGGGTTGGAAACAGTATGGATTCTCTTGTCAAACAATCTGCGAAGGATCTTGCAGAACTTTCTGTTACAACCAAACTCACAACCTGTGAAAGGACGTACTTTGTATGGAGGACATCACAATTTTCTGTGAAAAAATCTAGTTTATAATGCAAAACATAATTGCACTAATTTTTGGCGCACGAATTTTGTATCATAAGCGGTTTCATTTGTTTCTTTTATTGCCAAAAAGAATGAAATATTTCATCAAAAAACGTCTTTGTTCAAATTTTGTTCAACCAAAAATATTTTAAAAATTACCTTTAAAATGCCAAATGGGCTTTATGCTGTTTTCTGTCATTTAAAATGTTTTATAAGTTGGGCATTCCTTCCGAAGTTATCGGAAGGAATGCCCAACAAAAAATTATTAAATTTGCCGAATGTATTTTATGGCACGTATCTACCACTTTATAGCACGTATCTGCCGGAAAGTAATCGATTATTAATGACAAGCTGTGTTCCATAATTTCAACGGCATATAATAAAAAAATAATTACAGACACCGCGCGGCAACTTGCTTGTTGGCATTTGATATATTGAATAAGCAATGAATTCTTGATGGCAGACGCTGTCAATGGAAATGACACCTACTTGGTTGGTGTCATTTGGTGAATTATGTTGAAGCTCTGGTGTACGGTGACGGATTTCCGCTGAATATGTAACGCTACAGCCATACCTTCGTAATACCTTTTCCCCTATGTTTATCTATTTGAGGCAATTGGTACTAGTATTTCGCAATAGAGAGAACATAATGCCTCTTGCTTCCATGCCAGGAATGGCACGTTGATAAGTAAGACCTCGTTAATCCTAAGCTGAGGGTTGTCGTTTGTAGGGGGTGGTGAGAGCGACATATACTTACCGAAAAAACAGGTTTTCACTGATTTTTCAACAGATAAGGGCTTACGAAATGGTATCACTACTTCTCTGTTATTGAACAAACAATAAAACTTCATCACTTCTGATATTTTTTGTATTGTTTCTTCTTCATTGTGGGATGTTCGCAGAATAGTTCAGAAAACCGCAACACGTATTTAGTTTCGTCGGGCGTTTTCATAGTGAACACGAGCATGAACACGCCTGAGGAATAAGCTACTGCATAGCGAAACATCCGTTACTTAAATACTTCATAGATTTTCGTCAAGTAGCGGCCATTTCCAACATATATTTTATTTGTTTGTTTGTTTGAAAACTTATAAATTGTTTGTATTTATTTTATATCAAAATGACTCACCTGTTCTAGAGGCAACAGTTCCTGTTCGATCATTTCAAGTTGCGTAGTCAGTTCTTTTTCTTTGGTGATTTGATGTTCCTGTATGTGCATGGCTTCATACAATTGGCTAACTAAATTTTTCACGTCGTTAAGTCTGAAAAGAAAGTCTACTTCAGATTAAGCATGATACTGTAATATTAGTTTTTCATTGAAATTATAACTTTTTTTTCAAAAGACGCCACCTGAAAAAATATATCAAAATGTTATTATGTATCAAAAAGTACTCTGGGTCGCAACTGCTATAGTACTAAGAAAATGCGATTGGAACCAGTTGGGAGCATTGGTTCTACAAAAAAATGTGTACGTTTCGGGACGCCCGACGGAAGTGATAATTTAAACTAATCTGAGTTGAATTATTCAACTATTCACTAAATACTGATCATCTGTCGGACGAGAGAGGAGGAGCCTGCCTTCCGCTGACGTATGCGTGAGAGAAAGGTAAACCTGGCGCCGTTACGGGATAGAGAACGAAGTGGTTTACCCTCCCATGAGAAGTTATCACTTCACAAATCAAAAATCAAAACACGTCGATATAATTTCTATACCTTTGTTTTCCACAATTTCTTCGGAGGGATTTTTTTTATATGCAACGATGGCTTTATGCTGAGGCGTGTGTATCCGTGCCAAAAGGATCCAATCAGTGTCATTAACGGAATCATTCAGATAACGGACGTCCTCTCGTGAGGGTCATAGAAAGCATTGTCACGGTAATGCTGGGATCCGCTGTAATAACCAAAGAATAACCCTGAGTCTACAGAGGAGATGGACGTAGACCAAACAACCTGAACTACCCTTCCTCTAATCTCCAACTCCTCATCTTGTTAACAAACCTAGAAGCCTAGGTGGTACAGTTAGAAAATATTTCGTCCTTTCCTCATGGGAAGAATGCCTAAAAAAATTTTCTTTGCCATGAATTATTGAGCTACGGAGTTACAATCTGCATCAGGTGAGGAAACAAACTCCTCTTACGCAGGTCAGCAGACGCATTATCTTCCGAAACCAACATCATCTGCCAATGTTGAGAAGAATAATGACACTGCAGGATACTGCAGGATAAAATGTTGTTTATCAACAATATTTTAGATCCAAAACAGTGGACTTGAAAGGAGGAACCGGCGCCAAAGAAGGTGAAGACCATTTATTCCGCAAGCAAGGTCATGGCATCGGTTTTTTGGGATGTGCGTGGGATAATTTTCATTGATTATCTTGAAAAGGTAAAACTATCAACGGCGAGTATAATGCGAACTTATTGCAACGTTTGAGTGAAGAAATCGAGCACAAACGGTCACATTTGGCTAAGAAAAAAGTGCTGTTTCATAAAGACAACGCCAGATTTAGCCCCCTGGGATTTTTTTTGCTCCTAAACTTGGCAAAATGGCTGAATGGTCAAAGATTTTCCAACGAAGAAGAAGTGATGTAGACAATTAATGGCTATTTTGTGGGGCAAGGCAGTTCTTATTATAAAAACGGCATCGAAATTATTGAACGTCGATGGAAAAAGGGTGTAGAGCTGCAAGAAGATTATGTTGAAAAATAAATATATTTTTTCCAAAATGTATGTTTTCTTTGTTAGGCCGGGTACCTGGAAAATTATTTAGAGTGTAAATTCAGCGAATGGAATATGAAACAAAAAATCTTGTCTTGAATATTCTTAAATATTTTTGAACCAAGTATACCAGGGGAATTCTTTCCAACGTTGTATTTGGCGAATGGAATGAAATGAAACAGATGCCATTGTCCTGTTACTCTACAACTATAATCATAATTTAGAAGAAAATCATTTTTGTTTTCAAAACTGAAGAGTGGAGGTAAAATTTGAAAAGACCTGCAAATACTTAGAACGCATATGGTGGCATATGAGGGCATATGGGAGCTTATGGTGGGGTGGATGCCTGGATGACTACAAGTTACCTGACAAGATCACAAAAGTGATTAACCACCACCCCTTGGTTGGTGGGTGTTGTTAGTATCCTACCAAAATTTGTGTGGCTTGCGAATAGACCCCCCTACTTCGGATCATGGTGCCTACATGACCTGTAATATTAGCGCACTCATCGTTTTCAAAATACTGTGAGATACTAAACGTGAAAAGGTATAATGAACATTATTTATCACTTCTATCCACAACAAAGTTTATTTGAAATATGCGTTTATTTTTCTATTACAAGCATCGAATTCAAGTTAAAAACGAACAAACAAGCAGGGAAATATTTGATGAAAATCGTCTTAGCTAAACAAGGAAAAGTATATCTTCATCTTTTAACGCCTATTTCTGATCAGGTTATATTTGTTACGTTTTTTCTTGATATGCACCGCATCAAATTTGAAAGAATAGGAAGCACTGAACAGAGAAATCGATGGCCTTTCAATTTGGTATGCTTCAACAACCAATCAATTCAAGATGCAAGTTTAGGATCTGCTCAAAATAAAATTCAACGATATTTTTTGTAAACTTCAACTAGGCAATTCCGTGCTTTTCTTTTACCTTTATCGAGTTATATATCCTTCGGTTTTTCTCTTGAATATCTCAATGTTTTACAGAAAATCGCCTATTCAATTCCCAACAACGAAACAATTTAGACTCGAAGCCATTAACATTTTCTAGTAGGTATAGCGTAAACGTAAAACTCGTACATCATGATCATCGTCCCACCGGGTGTCTTATCTTTTAATGGGGTGTAAAGTTAGTAGGAACAGCAAGACAGAGTGTTGGCAGAAAGCCTAGGTCATGACCCAATGAGTATGGATTTCGTGTACTGAATAGACAAAAAGGATCACTCGGTTTGCAGGACATCTTCCACACAAAGGTTAACGATATTTATCGGCTGGCAAGCGTTTTCATTATTGATGAGAAAAACACACTTTGGAAAAAAATATTTAATGATTCGGTTTGGTCAATTGACTTGAAACGTGTTTTGGAAAAATCAATTATAAACATAATTATGAACGCTGTTACTGACAAAAACTGTTGTCTAACGGCAACAAATAATATGTTAACGATATGATATTAATGAAAACCATCAGAGTAGGTAATGATATATCGGTTTGATGAATAGCTTGGTTTGTCATTTATAAAACGGGATATGAAGACTCAATAGGTATTAGGCAGAGATAACATTCTAATAAATAGAGATGAAGTAAAAAAGTGAACATATGAAAAAAATAACCTTTGGAGCGAAATTATCAAAATTGATATTACACTATACATAGAAATGAAAGGAAGTGACAAGTTGACGTGTTTCACCTTTTCTTTCCATCAATAAAGAGAAACCGTAATAGCAAATTCGAAATAATCTACCAAATTTCTAAACAAAATTAACTGAATCAGTTTTGCAAGTTTGACTTCAGTTCCATCAATTTCGGTTTTGTAGAAATTGAAATAACATCATCTTACGTTTTAAATTGCCTTTAGACAAACTTCAATTTGCGATAACAAGAACAAGAAAATTCAATATTGAAGTGAACAAAGTTCTTTATGATGAGTGACTTACATTTATTTTCAAAACTTCATTTACATTTCGAATGAGCAAGCAAAACGTCGATACGAGTCTTGAAAGATGACAGAGTTTCAAAAAGTTACATGTTTTGTGCAACTTATAATGGAGTAAATAAAACCGATCGATACGAGACTGTTCCAGAAAATATCACTCTGCTCGTTCTGTTCATACATTTTGAACTCTTTAAGCTGTTAATTGCACTACGTAGAATTTTAGTGTTATTATAATCCATATTATGATTATCAATAGTGCCATGTTCAGATGAGGTACAAGAATTTACGGTTCTCCTGACAAAACTTTTATGTGATAATATACGACTATTCAAACTACTAGATGTTTGGCCAATGTACGATTTATAATATTCTCTACATGAAATTTAATAAACAATTTAGACTTTAGTTTACTCGAGATATGAGTTTTCATACAGTGAAATTTTGATATGGTTAATACATTCGTTATTGCAATTTACAAGCGTGGGCGCTTTGAGCCAAATTTTTTGCATATCAAGCGCCCGTCACTTATTTAAAAAAAATTATTTTTAACTTTTTATTTCGATGTTCTTTAAAATCGTGTTTTTTAGTTTTTTTTAAACTATATTTATATGTTTTGATTATCATTAAAATTGTATCAATATTGTCAAATGATACTAACAAAATTAAGTTGTCTACAACTTTCTTGATGATTGCTTTTCTAAATATTTGTTTGTTGAATAATTTATTATTAAAAACAAAATAATTCAATTCGAAGACTTCTAGAAATTTTTCTGCATTCTTCTTACCATTATTTTTTAAAAATACGTTTTCCCCAGCGGCGGCTCGTCAGAGGAGGTAAGGGAGGCTTAGCGTCCCCATAAAATTTTAGGCTATTCATCGCAATAAATTAAAATATATTGACTAATAATTATGATTATTTTTTTCTAAAAATGCTTGGTTATCATTACTTTACCATTAATTTTTAATATGAATACATAATATGCCCGAAAAAACACTATAACTCATTATGTAGTACGTACCTGCATCAACAAAACTCAAACGCACCGCCTATGAACGAATAACGAATAAACCATCCACCCGAAATAATAAATGCCATACGTTGCAAGGGAGCCAAGCCTCCGACCGCTTTAAAAAACACAGGCTCCACGAGACCGATCCAACCAGCGACATACGTCCCGATTTGTAATTTCAGTTGCAGAACTTATAGCGTTAGAGGAGGCTAGCCTCCAGTTGGTCTCCGTTAGTGTACGACTGCATTTGTTTTTTATTTAATTCTTCGTACGAGATGCCGTGACGAACCGGGACCAAAAAATATTTCGGTAAATCGTTTTACTTTTTGATAATATCGTTATTTGTGTATAAAACAGGCAGTATTGTATTATAGCAGTGCTTTTTGGTAATATTTTTAATGTGTTTTTAAAGTGTTTGATTTCAATTTCAAGGTGTTTTCAGGTTTTCACTATTCGGTAAGTTTTTTCTTTCATTTATTATGGATAAGTTGGACGAAATTAAAAAATCTAACGATATAGTCGATTGGTTGCTGACAAATAATTTTAAGTCTTTATCTTATGATAATAAATTTTACATTATTAAAACTCTGGGAA